GAGTTCTGTTCCCAACAAACTATTAATCAACTGGGAAAACAAATTTAAACTAATTTCCATCATGCACAGTCTCCATGAATGTGTTATTTATACCATCTCCAGAATATACTGAGGATGGACTTCACTAAAATAAGTGAGAAACAACAAGAAGGAAAATATGGAATTTGGGAAATAAGTGGTCTGCACAGAAAATGATTCCAAGTGTTATAATAAAAACATAATTCCTGGATGACGACAGAGAAAGAGGCCTTAAAATCAATCCAGGGGATAGAGGGCTCCAGGAAAGATGTCCCTAAAAAAAAGAGAAACAGAACTGATAGATTACCAATGTGGGTATAAATTTGTGTATAATATATAGAAAAACATGACAGTGATTAAAACAAACAATGGGGAGTTGTAACTGCAGAAAAAGGAATGGTAGTTCTTTTTTTTTTTTTTAAAGCGAGAGAATTTTTTAATATTTATTTATTTTTTTTAGTTTTCGGCGGACACAACATCTTTGTTTGTATGCGGTGCTGAGGATCGAACCTGGGCAGCACGCATGCCAGGCGAGCGCACTACGGCTTGAGCCACATCCCCAGCCCTAGGAATGGTGGTTCTTTAAGGAAAAACAATTGTAAAAGACATGACAGAAATGCATTCATAGTATACCACATAGCTCTGCTGTATTTGTATTGTAACCATACTATAACATTGAATATGTATTCAATAAGAATTATGATATAAATACAGTGGGAATATAGGAGTAAGAAAAGTATATGTATAGCTTAAGACAGCTAAATCCTCTCCTTTAGTAGGACATCTAAAAATGTAAAAATTAAGTACACTAGTAGATAAGTACATTAAAAAACTCTTACAAGCAGCACAATTCACAATAGCTAAATTGTGGAACCAACACAGATGCCTTTCAATAGATGATGAATGCATGAAACTGTGGTATATATATGCATATATATGGAATATATACATGATGGAACATTACTCAGCATTAAAAAAGAATAAAATCATGGCATTTGCAGGTAAATGGATGGAATTGGAGAATATAATGCTAAGTAAAGTAAGCCAATCCCAAAAAATCAAAGGCCAAATGTTTTCTTTGATATGAGGATGCTAACTCATAATGGCAATGGGGGGGCATGGGAAGAATGGAGGAACTTCAGATAGGGCAAAGGGGAGGAAGGGGAAGAGAGGGGTTAAGGGGTAGGAATGATGTGGAATGAGTTAGACATCATTACTCTAAGTACATGTATGAAGGCACAAATGATGTGAAAATACTTTGTGTACAATCAGTGACTTGAAAAATTGTGCTGTGTAATATGAAATGAATTGCATTCTGCTATCATGTATAACAAATTAGAATACATAAATAATTTAATTTTAAAAAATCCTCACAAAGAGCAGAAACAGTAAGTAGAGTTGAAAGTTCTGCATAAGGGTTTTTTGTAGTTGGGATGGTAAGAAGGGATTGCTATCTTTTGTTATAATCCTCTGGAACTAAATTATTTAACTTTTTATAGTATGCAAATGTGTTATTTTGATTTAAGGATATGTTCCAGAAATATCTGCATTGAAGTCAAAGTGGCTATTTCCCAATATATTATTAGTTATTTCAACATATAGAAACAAGTTATTTCACATCATAGCATAGATAATCCACTGTCTGGAAAACATTAAGTAAGACTTAACATATATAATAAGTTTCACTATGACATTTAAAAATAAATTGTTTTATTAGCATTATCATATTTTTCTTTACTATTAAGGGCAATGGGTCGCTAAAGTTAGTTATTTCAGGCCAATTCAATGGTTCTCATTGTCACCCGGGACCCCATCACCAATCCTGAACATTTGGCAATGGCACAATGGGGATAGGAGGGAGGAGGCTACTGGTATCTAGTAGGTAGAAATCAATGATGCTGCTTAATATCCTACAATGAACAGGGAAAACCCCAGAACAAAAATTTACCCAGCCCTGAATGTCAATAATGCCGAAGTTGAGAAATCAAGCACTGAGTCTTTGAGGATTATTACATCAGAACTCTATACATAAAGATTGATGATGTGTAAACAATGTAGGACCAACTCAGCTAAAAATATCTTGGTGCAATGTTGGAAGCAGCCTGGCTGTGAAATATCTTTGGGAATACTGAGAATGGCAAAGACAAAAGGTATAATAAATGATAACAATAATAAAACAGTGCTTTGTACCTCAATAATCTCTTTAATCTTTAGTTCCTAGGGCACTTTATAGACCAATAATAACTACTCTGGTACTCACATACTACCTTTTATCTAAGGACCTTAGGCACTTTCACAACACTCTGACAATGTAGGAAGTATTATTATCCCCATTTTATATGTAAGTAAACAGAGGCACACAAGTTAACCAACTTGCTCAAAGCCACAGAAGTCAATGGTAGCCAGCATTCCTGACTCAAGAGTCTATTTAATACTAAGAGAACTGGTAGAAGTGATGCAGTGACAAATTTATGTGACATAAGTGTTATCCTAGTTCATTCAAAGTCTATTGTCTTCAGGTTAATATTGTATATTCAGTCCCTCATTTTTTTTTTAACCATCTCCAGACACGTCTTAGAAACCCAAGATTTTAACTGCTATCTTATTAATAGGAGGTACTATGTTGAGTGCCTTCCTGAACAAAGCACATTCTACTTGCAGTATCACTTTAAAATAAGTCATTATTGCTGATTTTATAGTCAAGAAAGCTGCTGAGTTTCAGAGAATTTAAACATATGCTCAAGATCTTGCAGGTATTTAACATGTTTGTACCCAGACTGACTATATCATCTTTCTACTATATCCTACAGCCGCTCAAAGAGAAAATCCTCAGAGAAGTTATGAAAGCCCATTAATGTGCATACATTTAATACTCAAATCCCCTTTTCCCCATCTTAAAACTCATAAAACAAAGTAGTGAATCTGTAACTGAGAAATTTCAGGTGGTGCACCTAGGTAGATACCAGGAGGCAAATGGCCACTCAGCCATTTAAACCTATTCCCAAGGAAGGCCTTTAATTTTCCACTGAATTTTCCAGAACCTCAACAGTCAGACCAAAGCCCAGAACTGTGTGACTTTGTCTTTGAGAAATACAGGGCATGTGAATCATTTTCTCATTCCCACAGCGGGCACACATTGATTACCCACCTTCCATGTACTACCAGGTCCAAATATTAAGTAGGAATATTAAGTAGGACAAACGGTTGTTGCTAGGGAAGAGTGTGGCTCAGGCCTTCCTACTTTTTACAAAACAGAGACCTAGCATTTGGGGCTTACAACAATGATGTGCCCTGACATTTGATATTATTTGGATATAGTGAAGTCAGTCTACTCTGGTGTCTGCCCATGGTAGCCCACCCAGCCCTGATCCAGAAATCTTCCATAACTTGTAAATCTTGTAAATGTAAGGATAAGTAAGGATGGAAAAATAGAGACTATCACCCCTCCAGCTCATTTCAAATCAAAATCAATGCTGCTTTCGTACTTTGACAGGGAGTTTTGCTGCTGAATTTACTATTCTGGAAAGAGAAGGCCTATAGAATGGTTAAGAGGAACATTCCAAATAGAGTCAGCATCACCAATAAGATAAAGTGTCCAAAGGAGGTTTGATACTTCTGCAAGCCTAAGGTAAAATAGTAAACTCTTAATAATTCACGGGACAGTTTTAGCCTTTCTTTTTAGGCGATTCCTTTTCACCAGGAGATGCGTTTCCTTAGGTTTCCTCAGGACCACCATCCTAAGACATTTCAAAAGGGGTGAGCGACCAAGAAGAGAAACGAGTGGGTATTTTCTCATCCTGGCCAGTTAGCTCCTGAATCTTCACAAGTTGATTGCACTTTCCCCCTTGGCAATATTCGAAACTTTCGTTCAAATAAGATTATGTACTTAAAAGGAAGAGTGGCGGGAGACCAGCGAGGCGGAGAGGGGAGCCGGGAGAGGGGCGTTGGAGTGCCGTTCCCGCCCCAGAGTCGCAAGCGCCAGGAGGCCCGACGCCCCGCGGCTGGCGGCCCAAGAATGTGCGGTGCGACCCGCCGCAGGCAGAGAGCGGCAGGCCGGGGGAAGGTTTGGCGCACGGCAGGCGGCGGCCGCTGGCCCAACGCAGCGCCGCGCACCTGAGTGCCGGGGGCGGGGCGTCGCCGGACACTGCCTCCTGCTCACCGGGAGCCGCGCCCCTCGTGCGCCCCTCGGCCTTTTCCGCCCGCGCTTCGGCACTGCTCGGCTCCCCTCCCGCCCCTCGCTCCCTCCCTTTCTTCTTCCCTCCCTTCTAGTCAGGGACTTGGGAAAGCAGGGCAGCGAGTTTGCCGCGTTCCTTCCGCGCGTCCGGAGGTCGCGCCGCACCTTCGGCTCACTCGGGGTACTCACTCCCCGTCCCGCGCCTGATTCCCCACAAACTCATCGGAGGTAAGGGGCTGCTCTCGGGCCACCAGCACTCCACTCGTGCTTCGTCCCCGCCTCCTCCGCGAGCCGGTTAGAGGCTTTACCCGGGAGTCGGGTTGTCGGTGACGAGGATCTCGGACTGGCGGTGGCCAGAGCGGGCGCTTAGTTGGGCCGACAGGTGGCGGGGTCTGGCCATGGTCCCACGTCCCCCGCAGGCGCGGACCCGGGTGGGATGGGGCGGTCGGGCCGGGGGTGGGGTCACGCCCTCTCTCCTCCCCTCGAGGGGCGGTGATCGTCGGGGCCGGCGGTGTAGGTGCTTCGGAGAAACTTTGCAGGGTGGGGACGGCGGCGTCTACTCGCCGTTGGAGACGAGTGGGTGCGCTCTGGGGGTACTCGGAGGGGCGAGAACGGAAGCCAGACCTTTGGGTCCTACCAAGACCTCACGCCTCCCCTCCCCGCCCCCTTTTGTATTTCTCTTCAGACCCTCTTGCTGCTGGGGGAGTTTCCGCCGCCCGCGCCAGGGGTCCTGTTCCTTGAGTCCTCGCGGTTGCGGGAAGGAGGCGGCGGCGGGGATCAGGAGCTGGGAGCCCGGGTGGCCGTCTGAGGTGAGCACCCAGCCAGCCCCTCTGGGAATATGGCGACCGGTGGCTACCGGACCAGCAGCGGCCTCAGCGGCAGCACCACAGACTTCCTGGAGGAGTGGAAGGCGAAGCGCGAGAAGATGCGCGCCAAGCAGAACCCCCCGGGACCCTCAGCCCCGGGCGGGGGCAGCAGCGACGCGGCCGGGAAGCCCCCGGCGGGGGCGGTGGGCACTTCGACGGCGGCTGCCACGGCCAACGAGCTCAACAACAATCTCCCAGGCGGCTCGGCCGCACCTGCTGTCCCCGGCCCCGGGGGCGTGAACTGTAGTGTCGGCTCCACCGCGCTGGCTCGGGCGGCCCCCGGCCCGCGGCGGCCAGAGGACGAGACCCCCGCCGCCGCCGCCTCCGGAGCTCCGCCGCCTCGGGGTGAAGAGGAGGAACCGGATAGCGCCCCGGAGAAGGGCAGGAGCTCGGGCCCAAGTGCCAGGAAAGGCAAGGGGCAGATTGAGAAGAGAAAGCTGCGGGAGAAGAGGCGCTCCACCGGCGTGGTCAATATCCCCGCGGCAGAGGTGAGCGGGCGGGGGCCATGCTGTTCCTGGGGCCGCCACCGTCTGGCGTCCTCCACCCGAGGGCTCCTGGGTTCCGGGGCCCAGGTTTCTCCCTGACTCGTCCTGCTGATCCTTTGACCGAGCTGGGCAGGCAGCGGGTGATGGAGTTTTGCTTTGAGCAAATACTTCCTGGGAAGTTCCCCAAACCCACAGTGTAGGACACGTGCTTTTCCAAGCTTCCTGGATGAGGTCTCAGATCCTGAATACATACTTGTTTAGAGCGGTAGAAAGACAACTTCTGGACCGAGACTTGCCTACCTAGACCTATCTGTTTATGCTTGATCAGTTAGGAAAATTGATTAGTGGTGACGATGACGTACTCTAGTTTCCCACGTGTCGGTCTCAAGTTATCAGATTATCTCCTCTTTTGATGTTTACAAGCACCAGTAAAGAAAATGTGGCCTTAACAATATCCAAGATAGCTTTATCTTAATGAGCCGATGATGAGTGTATCCAATATACATATGCATGATATTACACACACACACACACACACACACACCCACACACACACACTCACACTCTCTTTTTAAGTGGTGCTCCCCATCACGGTTCCCCCACCCCCAGTCATCCCAGTCATTTTAGGACAATAGGGATGCTGCAGCAATTCACAATTCTGTTTGCTTAGAGTTCTCTTTTTGTACTTAAATATCTGGACAACATTTGTGGTAGGGGTGGCGTGTTTTTTTTGTTTTCTTTTTTTTTGGTGTTTTTGACTAGTCTACAGACATTTCTGCAGTCAGCAGCAGCATCTCATTAGATGACTGGTAAATACTTTTACGGAGTGTATAATCACACCTCTACCTGAAACAAAACAATCCTGAACAAGTTTGGGTTACTTTAACAGTAGCTCATCATGTTTGGGAAGTGATTGAACTACTTTTTTTTCCCCCAGAATAGGCACACCTTCTCATTGGCTCTGCAGGTTTCACTTTTTCCCCTCATTTTACTCCTTGCCTTCTAATTCACTCAATTTTGCTACACACTAAATAACTATTAAGAATTTATCAACTTTAATTGTGGTTTAAATAAAAGCATTTGTAATAAGTTAGGGTGTATTATCAAGTATACCTAAAGTTTTAGATGTTAATATGATTCCATTCCCAGAAAATCAAGAGTATGTCTTTGTAGGGTGTATTTTTGTATGAATGTTTCAGAGATTTCTATTAGCCAGCAAACTGTCCTTTGTGGTTTGCTACTTGCACAAAATATCTGTTATTCATTAAATTACTTTAAAAGGAATTCGTAAGAGTGGTAATCAAATTTCCAGGTTTTTTTTTTTAACTTAAAAATATGAAGATTAAGAGGAAATTGAAGACAAGGCTTTGGAAAACCTACATTCCTCAACTTTATTTTTAAAAGCTGTGATCCAAATATGAGAATTTGTCATTTTCAGTCTTTACTCATTGTTCATCTGACAGGGGTCTTATTTTGGCAAATATCTTGGCAGATGTTAAAATTCGCTTTTTGTCCGGCTGCTTGTGCTAAGATTATTTTTCAAGTATTTCTTCAAAACAAGAGCAATGTTTACTAGGGGAAATAAGTAGGGTGTATCTTGTGAGATCCTAAGAAACATCCTTTGTTAGTACTCCTGCTTTGAGTGAGAGAACTTAGTGCTGAGAATGTAGATGACTCCCCACTACAATTGAGTCTAATTCTCTGGAATGTTTTTCGTTTGGGTGTTGGCAACTCCTAAATTTAATCTTACTTAAAACAAAACAACCCTAGGCACCCTTTTTTGTGTGTGGAATTTTTTTTAATTGAGTAGGGAGTTGAGGACTGCTTTCTTTTAGTGGTAACTATGGCTCTATCTGTTTCAAGCTGTGGGACCCAACAAAACATGGTAATATTTTACCACAGTATCTAATTATCAGGCTTGAGAGCCTCCTCCCTGTATTTTTAAAAAAGTCTTTTATATTGTTTCAATACTACTGAAATATGTCAGGAAACTTTGAAGGTAAATTATTTTCATGTCTTTAGATTTTTTAGAATTATATTCCATTTCTTCTAGTAGTTTCCAAAGTGAGAATGCCACTTGCTGTGGAGGTTCTTAAGCACTCCTGTTTTAGAAAGGCATATTGCATTTTATACATATTACATTTTATAAACTTTTATAAACTTTTCAATCTGTCAATAGTCAAAAGTACACTTACATTTTATCTAATGTGTAGTAAGATCCACTTTCAATTTTCCCAATCAAGTTTATATTAGAATAGTATGTAGTTTGTATATAGAGAGCCTATTTTAGTGAGTGATAAGTTTCTTTAGGAAATACACATTAAACATCTGTGTGAAACAGTTGTGGTTTTTATTAACTCATTAGAGTATTTCATAATATTGTTGTAAAGATGTATGACAGCACCTAAAGGTAACAAAGTCAGCTAGGAGGTAGTTTAGCAAGGAAGCAGGCTAAAAACTAAAACTGCCAGTACCATCAAAAACCAAAAATAGGGGTTGAGGTTGTGGCTCAGTGGTAGAGCACTTGCCTAGCATGTGCGAGGCCCTGGGTTTGATCCTCAGCACCACATAAAAACAAATAAGCAAAATAAAGGTATATGTGTAACTAAAAAATAAATATTAAAACAAAACAAAAAAAACCCCAAAACACCCTGGCTGATGCAGTTTGAATATAGGGTAGGTACTGAGTGTGACAACCATAGAAAAGTCTAAATATCCAGCTGCTCCTTAATAAGATAAATTTTGTTTTTCATTTTCTAAAAGATTTTTTTTTTTTTGGTAACAGCTTGCCTAAATTGAACAATTTGGATGTGACATACTTCCTGTCAATAATTTTTGTGTATGTTTATCAGATTAGGCAAATGTTTATTACATGACTGTGTTCAAGGCACTGTCCTAATAAGCACTAGAAGAAACAAGAAGAATAAGGTAGTGTATGTTCTTAAGAAGCAAGACTGTAATCTAGAAAGAAGACATAAGACATAGTTATATGAAAAACTTAAGTAGTGACTTAACAGTTTAAAAGCCATTGGAGTACAGCATGGAATTGATTATTCATTACAAATATTTTGTTTAAAGGAAAGAGGTGATAGGGTTGGGAGAAGCTATTGAGGTTGAGAGTTTTGACTTGAATCATGAATATTTCTATATCTATGTTTATATGTATGTCCTCACATACATAAATATAGTATTGTAAGCATCAGATTGCAGATCCACACATTAATATCATGTGTGGATCTCCCCCGTGCTGATTTTTTACCCTCTCCACTACCATTCTCACTCCCTTATGATTTAATGCACCTGGAATGTATCCCAGGCATTGATACTTTTATAAGCTCTCAATGTAATTCTAAAGTGAGTCAGGGTTAAGAACTATTGGACTATAATTAGGGATACCAAAATGAACACAGGCATTTTTAACAAGGTGTTCTTTCAAGCAAAATAAGGAAACAGATAAATACCATAAGGATTAGTATAGCCTAGTCCCTGATCAGGGTACCTAACTCAATAAAGAGGGATAGTTGAAGAGGTCTTCCTCAGTAATTGGTTCACAGAGTGCTTGTGAAGTTACTGCTGTTGAGTAGTAGGTTTGCATGAATGAATTAGTGGATATGATTGCCATAGAAAATATAATCTTTCCATAGGTAGGGGTAGCATTGAGGTATAAAAGTTAACGTATTAAAGCATTTTTGCATATTTCTTGGCTAAAGTGCTTTATGTACTTTTTTAATGCTTAGAGCACTCTCACATGATAATTACACTCTTTGCCTCCCATTTTCAGAGGAGAAAATGGAGACTTTTAGAGCTTAAATGACTCAAGATCACAGACATAAATATATGCAATTATTATATGTCAGTTAAAAAGATTTCATAGAAAGCGATAAAGCACAATTTTAAATGTTCTGTGTGGTTTTATGTGTGTGCATGTGCACGCACATGCATTGGGGAAAAGGGAAATTTTAAACAATTAACCTATTTTGCATTATTTAACATTTTCCTAGGTTTTCTTATAGGTTGATTGATTGATTGTTGTAGTTGGACACAATACCTTTACTTTATTCATTTACTTTTATGTGATGCTAAGGATTGAATCCAGCGCCTTGTACCTGCTAGGCCAGTGCACTACTGCTGAGCCACAACCCCAGCCCTCCCTAGGCTTTTTTTTAAAAAAACTTTTTATTTAAATATAAATTAAACATTTGAAGAAAACAGTAAAAGCATGGAATTGAATAGAAATTAAGATCAAATTTATAGGCTTAGAGATTGCTTTCTGATTTTATCTATAGTTTACTTGGCAAAATTTTGCACATCAGACTATCAGCAAAATGTAATTTTATTTTTGGTTAGTGGTCCAAAAATAGGAACTTTGATATTACTTAATGATATATTATTTTTCTGTCAGGATGGATTACTCCTCCATAATTTGAACTCGAGATGTAAAAGGGAGGGAAAAGGAGCATTTAAAATATAGAAAACACTTTGACATGAACACAATTTAAGTCATAATTATTTAGTATATTTACTAAATATCGCATAGATCTTGTTCCACTTAGTATACTTTACAAATGTTTTTTGGTATTGCCATTATGTTCCAGACAGTCTACCTTTCTATGTGATGAGTCAGGAGAGAAACTAATAATGACTCAAGTAGAGAAAATCTGATTGTGAATGGAATAAATATAGGATAAACACTGAGGCTAATAACATAATTAGCCCAGCTTTCTTAATGTTCAAGCTCAGTAGTAAGGTAAATTGAAATCTTAATGTTATCAGGATTTGTAATGAGTTGCCTGTTGCCTAAGATGGAATGCTATTTCTTATAACAATAGTAATTGCATAATTAAAGTAGGTGACATTGGTAGTGTGTTTCTTAAGTACCAGGCACTGTTCTAAGCACTTTGCATTTAATTATCATTACACTAAAGGACACTAAGGGAAAACTGGGCAGAGAGTAAGTTATTTACCTGCCAGAGATCACATGTGTAGAAAGAGGTAGAAATAGT